ATAAAGCTATGGATAATTTCAAGTATTTTCAAAAGATAACCATAACTGAGAAATACTCCTGCACAGACGGCCTAAGTAGTCGATATTTTTTTTTTTTTTTTTTTGGTTTTCTGGAACAAACCTTCATTTTATAAAATAAAAATTGTTTGAATGCTAAAATAACCACTTGACCATCGACAAATACTCCTGCAGAAATGCGGTCGTGTGGAAATTTAAAAAACACAAACATACAACTTTTTTCTCAAATTTTCTTTTCAGCAACAAGAACACTGTGCACGGTGCGGCATTAAAAACATTGCCTTGTATTGCCGCACAGCAGGTCACTGCGTGGAAAACCATATTTCACGTCACAATCAGGTGCAACTGCAATTGATTATGGCTGGGAAATGCAACCGACCAAACTCGGACATACGCATTTCACACTTCTTTTTTTCTCTCCCCCTCTCCTCAGTCTCCCTCCTTTTATTCGATCAACAATTTGGGAAAATTCTTTTGAAAGCATTGTTCGGGCGAAGAGGTAAGATTGCCAGCATTTTTGGGATCATTAGAACCACACCAGTGACATGTCAATGTATTAATAAAAAGAAGAAGAAGAAGAAAGGATTTCAATAATCATTAGCCAACCTGGTCAAATGGACAGCCTGAATTATTTTACGACACTTCTTTGTTTTATTGTCGTCCCTTGAGTTACCCTTGAGGAAGTTGCCTATTGAACACCTCACACCACAGCCACCACCACCATCATCAGCATCGATGCACCGACAACATCTTTGGATTCACTTGCTTTCAGCACACAACAGGAAGGAAGTGTCAATGCCCAGTTCATTGTTGCGAAATAACCTGCACCACCAGACAGTAGGCAATTAGGAAAAACGTCCTTTACTTAGGATGCGAATATTTGAGTTTTTGTCTTTATGGCGGATGTGATTTCCCGAGTCTTTTGTTCTGCTGGCTACTGTGTTAGGTGCCTCAAAAATATGAATGAATGAATGTTTGAATAAAATAGGGATCGTGTGAACAACCGACTTGTTTTGCTTCCACATTCATAGGTGGTCTTTGTCCCCCATAAGGACCCTTGGGAATATCGTAAGTGAAAGTTAATTTATGGACCTGCTATTGTCGTGGCAAATTAACAATTCAATTATTGCATAAATCGTTGGTCATACATGTGTCAATGATTATGGGGTCCTAAGGATTAAAAAAAATATTAAATGTATCAATTAATAAATTTCAGCAAATAAAAATCGAACCGAATTATTGAGAGAAAAAAGGGAGGAGACCTCTAACTTCAAGTAGCTTAGCTTAGCTGATAAAGCCTTTTATAAAAAAACGATATAATTAGGGACAGTAGCAATAATGTGGAGTTATACTCTAGATTTTAAGGTAGTATCCGGTTAATAATTCACTGCTCCGGAAATATAATGCTTTTGAGCGGAACTTACACATTACATTAAAAGAGCAAAAGAAGAATAAAACTACTAGGAAAAGGTCATACCAATGGTTGGACTTATATTGACATTTTTATACCCTCCACCTTGTAACATCCCTAAATATTCGTCGTAGACCACATAAAGTATATATATTCATAATCAGCATAAAATTCTAAGTCGATTTAACCATATCCGTCTGTTGAAATCACGATACAGCTTACATTATTTGACGTAGAGCGTCAAAAATTAGTAGATCAATTTGTATTGTGTCTAGGATGCTAGGATTAGATGTATCGGCCCACGTTTTGGTATAGCTCCCATATAACGGCACCTCCCGATATTCGGTACTTTGATTATTTTTGCCACTTTTTCCACGGATTAGTCTAAAAATTGGTATTTGTTTGTCGTAATGGGTTCTAGCTCCGGTGGCGAAACATTATACGTATTGGTCTACGTTATGTATAGCCGCAAATAGCGGTATTTCCCCATATTCGGTATTTTAATGATTTTTGGCACATTTTCCCATGAATATGTCTAAAAAGTTGTATTTGTGAGAATATGGAATTCATCGATTTACCCCTCGATACAACAACCATCCACCCGAACAAAAAATATACTAGGCCCTAAAGGTAATTTCCATCCCCAAGCTTTGAGCCTCACAATACCCTCAGCCATATGGCTACAGATGATGCGGCCAAAACGTGCCTCATCGAAATAACGGGTGTAGACCCCTGGTTCAAATATGTTTCAGGACCCTTAGAGTCGATCTAGGGATGTTGGTCCGTCCCTTTATATGTCTGTCTGGCTGGTGCGTTCGATAACTCTCGAAAGAAGTATCCGAATTGATCCAAACTTGATACATCGTAAAATTATTGTCAAACTTAGATCGAGTTCGGAGATGGGAATTATCGACCCAATCCATCTGGTACCTCCCCCACCAAAGGTCAACATTTCCCAGGAAATGAAAGGATCATCCAATTTTGATGATCAATGCTATGTCAGATGCGAAAATGGATTATATCGGTTAACGGAAACCCTCCCACACAAAGGGTCAAAATTTTGAATAATTATATCTCTTATAAGCATCAGACTCTCTTCAAAATTCCTTATATCCTAACAGTTTTGATAACTCAAGATCTGGTGTGAAGATAGAACATATCGATCCTCTCCTTCTGGTACCTCCTCCACAAAGAGCTGAAATTTTTAAATAAAACACTCATAAAATGCGGAATGAGCATTCTATACTCTTTAAATTTAAGAGTATTTATAAGAGGTCAACATTTTGGATAACAAAACACTCATAAAATGTGGAATGAGAAACAGATTACTTTTAAATTTTATTCATCCGAATATTTCTATCAACACAAGACTAGGTGTGAAGATTGAATATATCGGACCACTCCTTCGTGTACCTCCCCCACAACGAGGGAATAAATTTATCTCTTATAAAATACCAACTAAGCATCAGATTCTCTTCAAATAGCAAACATCTCAACATTTGTTAAACACAACATCTGAAAATGGGATATTTCGGTTCACTCCCTCTGGGGCATCCTCCACAAAGGGGTCAAAATTTGAAATAACAAAATGCTCATAAAATGCGAAATGAGCATCCGATTCTCTTTAAATTTCACTCATCCCAATATCTTTTAACATAGTGTGAATATGAAAGATATCGGCCTACCCTTTCTTATACCTCGCCCACAAAGGGTCACAATTTTAAATACTTATCTCTGTCATAACTTGGCCAATATTTGATATAAATATTACAACGTGTCAGATTTGGTCTTTCTTTGCTTTATATGATAAATCTAATAATTTTTAAACATACTGAAATGTACGTGAGATACCAGATCTAGTGGACCGAAATATTCCACTTCAACTAATACTGATAAAAAATATTGGGATGTGAAAAATTTAAAGAAAATCGAACATATATTTTTACAAGTCAGGTCAGTGATTCTATTCAAACTTGATACATCTAAATATATATATTAACCAGAGATCTGATATGTATATGGAATTTTTCTGCCCAATCCTTCTGGTACCACCCCCACAAAAGTTAAAATATCGATTGCCCATATTTCTATTAACATTAAATCATTAGTGAAGATGGGTTATATTATGTCCCTCTTTTTAGTACCTCCCCCAGAAATAGTCTACGGTTAGAAGAAGACAAATGTTAATTTATTTCCTCATTTTCTTTAAATTTCAATATTTCTCATATTTTTTATCACATGATTTTTTTTAATTTGACTTAAAATTGTAATTATAGATTTTTTAAAGCTTTTCTACACTTCTCAACACTGTGTGTTGAAGGTATTAAATACAGGTCACAATTATCGTCCTCATAGTATTTTGCATGGAGGTAGGGGTTTGGGTCAGAATTAAGTCTGTTTGTTTTTGAAGATGTGGACAAAAAAATTAAAATTTTCCTGATTTTGCAGTTGCTCTACATGTCATAATTGAAAACCAATCGACACGGAATTTTGTATAAGAAGGACAGGGAAGAAGTCTAGCATTTTGGAATACCTAATAACACGAGGGAGTGCGTAAATATTGGGCAAAGGCCTCCGATCAAAAAGCTAGGGGTAACATCTTGACAGGGATCTATAACATCATTTCATAAGCGAAATTTTCCAAATTCGATTTTGACATATTGGGGCTTTTAACATATTGAAGTGTTGCAGGGTATCACATGGTCGACCCCGCACTACTATAGTTTTTGCTTACTTGTTTTGACCATGTTTATAATGTTTAAATATGTTTTTCGTGTTTGTTTGTTCTCAGTGGAGTTTCAAATAGGTGGAATGAAGTAGTTTATCGCCCGCACTTAGGAGTTAATACAATTATCGCAGGACCAGGACATTTAAATGAAAAATTCGCGCATGACCTTCAAATGAAAAATTACACCTAGAAATTATAAAATCTGTAAAATGCATTTCTAAATTAAAAATAAAATAAAACCAGACCTTGCCTGTCAATAACTGTGAAACAATTAACTACCAAATAATAGAAAAATATGGTATTTGTTAACAAAAAAAGACCTATTTAAATACCCACACAATTCATCGATAAAAACAAAGGAAAATACATTTGAACTCATCCATTGTTGTTTTCAAAATTTAAACACAAATTGGATGCAAATATGTTTGACATGCTAGACTCTCTTTCATTACAATGGACCAAAGAGTGAGGGAGAGAGAGAGGGAGAGGCTGAGAACGAGAGTGATGACAGCAATAAACGCAATAAAGGCATCACTTTTTGTAATGGCAATTTACAGAAACGCAAATACAGAGTCCTTCCACCTTTCTTTTGTTCCTTTTGAGTTCTTTCTTTCATATGAAGTCCTTTGTACACATTGGAACAATACTCCATTGGAATCAATACTCACCCAAAAAAAGGAAAATCATTCATTCATAATGGAGTAAATCCATAATTTACATACATTTTTATTTATATATTGTAGTTATGTTTGTATGCATGTGTATATCGATTCATTTTAATAATAGATATGAATAACTTCTGTACACATCCAAAGTGATATCCTCCTTTTTCATTTCTTTCAGAACATCTTAATGGACCGATGAATTTTCCTTAAACACTCATCCATTTGAGGTAACTTACCATGAAATTCAGAAGAAATATTTTTTTCCTTTTTTCGGTTTCGAAGACAATGGAAACAAATTAAATATTTTTACATAATTATTGTTGTGCTTAGACGATAACGAATTCGACAAATTAATAAAACAATTATTTAACCTAAGATTTTGTCCATCTTTGTTTCATCGTCAAGGATGTGTATTTGCTTTGTTTGTCTCTCCATTTAGAAGTAGGTATGCATATCTTTTGGAATATTTTAAGGTTATGTGAAATTACATTTTGTGGAGTGGTTTCTGGTCGATTTGAATTTTAATTGAGGCAATGAAAAACCATGAAATTTCATGTGGGTCCAACAAATGGCTGACCTATTTTATTTTTCACCTAAACAATTATAATATTGCAAATGTTAAAATATTATATTTCCTACCGAGTGTGTGTTATTGACATCTTGCAATACAGCATTGGAAAATCTTCCAATTATGTATTTGAAAAAAACTTCAAAAATAAGTTATTTTTTTCGGACAATATTAAAAATGTCATCAGAAAGTTTAAACGCTTATTGAAGGCAAACTAAAAACCGCTGGAACCAACCCGGTCAGGATCATACAACTGTGAGAAGGTGAAATAGAATTTCCTGCTCACCCAGCATCGATCCCCAGCAGAAATTGTCATCAATAAATAATTATCGGTAATAATAAATCAATTATCGGTAATCCTAACTACCTACCAAATAACCTACTAATTAATTATTTTTACATGCGGAAATAGGTAGTTATTCTAAAGGTAGTTATTACTTAAACTATATGTAGTTATTACTAAACCATGTTAACAATTGTCAGTCGGTTTTGCCGAAAGATGTATGCCCTCAGCCAACGTTCGGTTATTTAAATATATATTGACTTCTGTTATGATTATTCAAATTTTGGTGTAGGTTCCGAAGAATGGGCCAATATTGTCCATTTCGTATGGGACCGGAATAAATATGATATAATATTACGACGTGCCAGCCTTGGGCTACTTTGGTTACTTCCTTCATTTTGAGATGTGATAATTTTTAGAAAATGGTAAAAATTTCGACTTTTTGTGGGGGAGGTACCAGAAGTAGTGGACCGCTATATTCCATCTTCACACCAGACATTAGGTTAATAAAAATATTCGGATGCCTGAAATTTGAAGACAATCGGACTCTTACATCACATTTTATAAGAGTTGTAATAATTCAAAATTTTGACCCTTTGTGGGGGAGGTACTTGATGGAGTGAACCTATATTGTCCATTTTCGCACCTGAGATAGCACTGACGCAAATATTAGGATTTGCAAAGTTGGAGCAAAATCGGTTTATTGCTTCTCTTTCTGCGCAGAAAATATTTTTATAACCTCAGCCTAGGCTAAAAGGGTATATATCATTTGATACGGTCAAAACGTGCCTAGTCGATATAAAGGTTTTAGACCCTAAGTCTGTTTGGACCAAATCCGTTTCAGAACATTTGAGTCGATCTGCCGATGTCAGTCCGCCCGTCTATCTTTTGACTGGTCCGCACGATAATTCACGAAGGGAGCGTCCGATTTGGCAAAAACCTGGTACATCGTAATATTATTATCAAACTTAGATCGAATTCAGAGATGGTCCATTCCTTTTGGTACCTCCACCACAAAAGACCATAATTTTCAAAAAAAAAAAATATTTACTGCACAGAAAGAGAAAGGATAACTAGATTTTGCTACAACTTTGCATATTATCTTTTCATCAAGTACCTGTCCCACAAAGGGGTCAAAGTTTTGAATAACAAAAACGATCATAAAATCCGAAATTAGCATCCGGTTCTCACATCATCAAATTACACACATCACAATATTTTTATTAACTCAAGGTCTGCTGTGAGGATGTAATATATCGGCACACTCCTTCTGGTCAAAATATTGAATATCCATGAAGCTCACAAAACGCGAAATTAACATCCGATTCCATTCGGACTTGGCACATTTCAATATTTCAATCAACACAATATATGTTATATAGATGGTAGAGATCGAACCATTTCTTCTGGTACCTCCCCAAATAGGGTTCAAGATTTTGAAAAACAAAACGCTCAACGAAAGCAAAATAAGCATCCAACTCTCTCCAAATTTCTCACATACAAACATTTTTGCTAAACAAGATCTGTTGTGAAGATAATAAATATCTGCGAACCCCTTCTGGTACCTCGCCCAAAAACATTTCTCCTAACCAAAAATCTGATATGAATATGGAATTTAGGATTTCGCATAAAATTCGATATTATGTTCGATGTCCTTCAAATCTTGCACATACCAATATTTTTATCTGTATTAGATGAAGTATGAAAATGAAAAACTTCGGTCCGATACATCGGTTACCTCACGCATTTTTCCACATTTTCTAAAAATTTGCACATATCTCATGCAAAGTATAGGGAGTAGTCGATATAGTCCAAATATGGCACGTTTTAACATTTATATCAGTTTTGGGTCTGATACGAATTGGTTAATTGGGCCAACTTTGGAACCTCCCCCAGTTTGAATAATCATAACTCGAGGATGGGGGTATACATTTGTCTGCAAAACCAGTTGTGGACAACATAAATATTACTGGGAATGCAGGGTATAAAATAGTCCACCTAGATTGCATGTTCGAAGAATTCCTTACCAATATTCTATACTTTTGTGATATAACTTATTCTTAGTCTCTGGGGTAGGTTTAAACCCCAGTTCAGAAATGCATTTTAGAATTCATTGAATTGTGTCAAGTCTCTAAAGAGGAAAGGAGGTCGTGCTCTCAGTACAAATACCTATTTTTCACAAAATCGCGCATTTTCTCTTCATAAGATTTGTTCCAATATTTTAAAATACCTCTCCATACCCATACTGTTGAGTCCAATGCCAGATTTCAAGTTCCTGTATTTCTTGTTACCAAAAGTACCGATAAATTTATTAGCTAATAAAATGTTAATTTTCGCATATTTCAATTAAAGAACAAAAGTTGAATAACTGGATTATTGGCGCACTTCATTTAAATCGATTCTTTGTCAATACAAATCTCCACCAAAGAAATGCCAAAATGGCTCTATTAAGCCGTACATAAATGCCTACCTGTCCACAGGTTGCTAACTCTAATTGAGATGGTGAGTTAATCTATTGCTGAATTTCAATGAGGATAAGAGATACTTAGGCGATTTATTAACAAAATCTTATTATTCGAATCATGGCAAGGCCTTTTGAGACTTCCAGCCGACGAATAGGAAAACAAATCTACTGCTATTTCAGCGGCACACAACTGCTGTTGCTCAATGCTCAAAACGAAATGAATTATGGGTTTTGATTTAAATAAATTAAACATTAATAATATTTATTAAGTCGGGCTAACAGGCCATAAACCATGGCTAAAGCAGCAGCGGCAGCCATGCATTTCATTTTGGCCATGCCAAGAAGTGTATTTTGACAATTGGTCTTAGAAAAATCTAATTAATGGCCAATTAAAGTCAGCAACCAAACAACGAAATAAAACAAAAAACAAAGTTTTCAACAAACAAAAAATCACACACACGCAAATTAAATTTAATTTTTTAAATAGACACCTATTGCAAAAACAAAAGCAATTTCAACCATAAAAAAAACTCAAGGTTAATTAAAGACATTCCATCAATCAGTCAGTATTGGCAAAACATGACAATCGCATTGGCCGAGAGGGAAAGAGAGAGAGAGACAAAACTTCCATATTTAGTAATGACAAAGTTATTATTTCTACTGTTGTTGTGTTTTTATTCTTAATTAAAGCAAAAAACAACAACGGGCAAAAAATAGAACTGTACATTTATGAAATGAGTTGTTGTAACATTTTTTATTTATTGCTTCCATCGTTTGATTGCAAAGGTGGTACTCAGGGGTGGGGTTGTAGGGAGGCATTGTTGATATGAACGACAATATGGCAACATAACAGCTAACTGTCGTCTGTCTCGGAGTAAAAAAGAAGTCAAGTTAATTGACTCATCATTAATCCTCCCTCCCAATTCCCAAAACAACAACAAAAACCACGACGGCGACGACGAGAACCGAATGAAGTAACACAAATGGAACCAGAACCACCAAAACAACAACAACATAATCAAACAAAGAAACCAACAAGAAATAATAATAATAACAACAACAGCAGCAACTCAAGGCAGTCAAAAGAGAGCAGATGTGTATTTGGGTGTGCGAGTGTGTGTGTGTGCTGTGTTTTGCTACGTTGCTCTGGGAGACATTTGGTGTTTTCTTTGTACCTTGGTGTGCGAAAGAGATGGCCACAAAGTTCAAATAAGGGAGTCATAACTCCGCCCTTTTATTTGTTGTACTTTTGAGAGTCCAACACTCTGTTGTTTCATTTATTAAAAATGATTTGATAAAGATGGAATTAATAGCTGGAAATGGTTCGATGAAAACAAGTTAGATATCGACCGGAATTTTGTTGTTTTGGTATAGTTATTCAAAATGGAAAAATATGTTCATATTCAAAGTTAATGAAAGAGATATTTTATTTTATTTTCTCTCTGGAGTAGTTTTGAGAAACAGTTATAGATGTCGCTCGAATAAATTACGTGGGGAGCCATGGGACTACAAATTAAGCTCATGGAGCAATTGTTTTTCATCACTAAAGCTTCAAGTTAAGTAAAAGCCAAATTATTTCATCCACTATCAGGGATGGGATTGCCAATATGTTGATTTCAAAAGGACTAAATAATATAAAACTAATGGGATATTTATTTTTTTAGAAAAAAATGAAACCCAATTTTAAACATTAAAAGAGAGACTAAGAAAAACGTCGTTCTACCCTCTACCATAAATAAATAATACTGAAATAGCTTGTCAGGAGATCCCTATAATTTAGGCTTAGCGATGTACTCAAGCCTGCAAATACAGAATATTTTCGCCAGCATGCTTTCCACCGACCACTCTACTCAACTCAAATTGTAGTCCGTATAGTTCAAAAATGTGACGTTTAAAGTACGAATGAGTTGGCGATAGTATTATACGACAGTGTTGGATCATTCCAACACCTGGGTCTGCATTAGACAACTCTAAAACTTATTATGATATAATGTAAATACCGAACTATATCCACTTTGGCCGAAACATATAACAGGCCCTTCAAAACACTTAGAATCGGTTATTACGGCCATATAGGGCTAACATAAAATGTGAACCGATATTGAAAATATTTAATACTATGCTAGATGCATTTAGAACCTTCAGAATTAGTCGATTCCAAGGATATCGTTATGCGGAGGTTATACCAAATAGTGGGCCATTAAATTTTAAGGAATGAGTTATACTACCCTCTGAAACACAAGCAGATCATACATCAAAGATTATATTGGGGCTATACCTAAAATTTGTCCATCTTTAATATTGAATGTCAATAATATGGAGGTAACAATCATAGTAAATCTTTTTCAGTTCTTCCCTTTACCTTATGTTTTTTTTATGAAAAAAGATACGAAACTTTTACGAAGCTATCAGGTGTGTTCTTTATTAAGAATATTATTATTAAGAAATAGTGGCGGCCCGAGCACTTCCCAAAATGGACCATTTATAATATTTTTGAAAAATTAATAATTTCAAATCATTAGTTTCAGAGTTGTTCGCAATCAAATTCAAAATTCATCCACAATGTGCTGAAAGTACTTCCAAGTTCCAAAATAATTGCGCTTACTGCCATCTGGCGGTGAATAGCAGCCACGCTCCATTTTAAAACAGTGCTGCCAATACTTCAAGAGACATCAACTTAACTTTGTGTAGATAGGTGGCTCTTTAATAAAATTGTGTGTGTTCGCCAAATGAAAACCAGTAAGGAAAAGTCAAAACTCGGGCGGGTCCGTCTATATGATACCCTACACCACTGTGCATATTTAGTAGAGCTCCCGTATCAAAAGAATTTATATTGTGAATTTTTTTGAAGTAGATCATACCACCTATCAAACTTTTCAATATATGTGAAGGCATATCCAATTCTGAATCGATTTTCACCAAACTTGACGTAGACATTTTTATCTTTTATGCCAAATACCATTACTATAGACTGCATGATATCACTTCGAGAAGGATTATATTTAAAAAATATATATCAGAATGGAAACGTAAGTCCCGAAATTCAATCCATTTGGGCTGATATTGGCTAAGGATATATATGGGAGCTAAATACTAGTTTGGCAAAGGTATTTCCGAGCCATATAAGATATCTGGTACCAAATATCATTGTTGTGGAGACCTATAAACCGATTTTCACCAAATTTGATGTACTTGCTTTTAGCTATATCTAAATTTTAAACGATTCTCAAACCAAACAAATATTGTTTGGAAAATTTTATCTCAATCGGATAATAAATGCGACCTGCATTTTGTTCACAAAAATACATGGACAAACGGACGGACAGACGTATTGACATGCATTAATCGGCGCAGAAAGTGATTCTACGAAGACCCTTAAAAGTAGCTACGGGTCGATCTCGCTTCCTTATCCATTTTACAAACAAATGCACAAAGACATAATACCCTTACCACGAACGTGATGTATCCATGGCTAAAACAGATCAAAGCTTAAATCGTGACATCGTCGGGAAAATATAAAATATATAACACTATTTTTTACCCACTTAACTCAAAAAATCGTTTATTACCCAATAAATAATAAAAAAAAGAGTATTCCTGCAAATTCTAGAAATGGAAGTTCGTATCGAAAATGTGTTTGCCACAGCAACTAGTTTCGCGGGTCCACTTAAATAAATCTTTCAGCTGATTTGCAATTCCTCCATGTCTCAATCGTAAACAAAATTTCGGCGTTATGTTCAAAGCCGCGGGTCGGTAAAAAACATCGCCGCCGATAGTTTATCATATGTTGCGCCGCCGCCAAACAATAACGTTCCGCTTCGTTGTCTGGGTGTGTATCGAGATTTTTTTTGGACAAACAAAATTTTTCAGGATAAATTTGCAACATTTGTTTGTCGAAAATTCCCAAAGCTGAGAACACAAAATATACCTGTGGTTAGCTAAAACTAATTGTTCGAAGACAAGGAAACATTGTTGCAGTACTCCATCCGCTAAACATTCTGATTGCCGAAATTTTGCCCAAGGAGGGGTGCAAACAAGTGGACGACATATACCCTTGTATACCACTGGAATTAGGCAAAGATGTCTAAGAACAAACTGAACCTGACACTGCCACCCGTCGATGCCTCGGATGCGTCACAGGCGTCATCGCCATTCAAAACACCATCTGGAACAGAGTAAATATGAATCATATTCTATTTTATTTGTTGCTGTTGTTTTTGTATTATTTCGATGTCTAACGTCATAAATGCTTTTACTTACCTATCTAGCCTGTGCATAAGAGTACAAACAAGTCTTGTTCCTTTCAATCATGTTCATACGAAACAGTTGACACTATCCATCGACGTTAGAGACAATGATGGGAGGTAACCCGATTCAGTTAGTTTGAGAAGGATTATTGTATTTATGTAGGTCTTTGGAGGAGCTTTAGACAGGAATAGGGGTCGTGAATTTAATGCAGATGCAATGGTTTTTGGTTGTTTAAAAATCTCTTATTGTATCAAATTGCAATCTCCCTTGTATGATAGTATCCGAAAAAAACAACATTTGTTTAAACGACGCAATGTTTTCTTAAGTGAAATTCGAAAAAATATCAAGTAGAACAGAAAATTTATTTGAAATCCAGAATACCCCATATACGCAGTTGAAATTTAATAAAATAATATACAGATTATAATAGGCTACATACGTGTTACCGACGATTTTATTAATTCCTAAGGTGCTGGGAACATTTTCCAGAAAATTTTCAACAATTTCAATATTTATAAATATAATATGGAGAAAACACCGCCAGCCCAAACAGTTCAATATACCAAACCGAATATATTTAGAATATACCAAATATACCGATTTTTTTCATCCTTTCTAAAATAAAAAATGTCTCAAAAATTATTCCCAAAAATCCAGTTTGATTGTAGAAATGTTGAATTCATGGTACCATGGATACAAGGTATGCCATAGCTACCAATCAGTTCCAATTTATTTTATTTTTATGGCTTATCATGACCAGCTATTGCTTTGTCTCAGTACATGTAAAATTCTACTAGTTTTGCTATTTTTTCAATATCATAAAGGGAAAATCGGTTATCGTAGTGAAAACTTGTACATCCTTACAGTTCCGGAACACAGAGTATATGTATATCTTGAACAGCATAAAATTCTATGTCGATTTATCCGTCCGTCTGTGGAAATCACTCTACCTTCCGAACGAAATGAAGTGGGTTGATACAATTTTACTCAAGTGTATACTATGTCTGCAGGACTTTTGGTATTGAAAATGGGCCATGTAGATCCACCCTTTGATATAGCCCCCATATAATGGTACCTCCCTATTTTCGGTATTTTGGTGATTATTTACCGGAAATGTTTTAAATTTTGTATTTGAAGTTCGTAATGGATTGGTATTCTGAGATTTTGGTGGCCATTGTGCGCTGGAAATGAAGCGAGGAACCTCATTTTGTAACCATTCTTGGGTGGTGAGTGCGATGGTACTAAGTCCTGTTTGACTGTCCAAGGTCTGCGGTCAAAATCCATATATATAGAAATGACACTATCATACTTGAATTCCACTGCAAATAACTTATTTTCTGGAAAAATCTCACCAAAATGCTTTTGAATGCTTGTAAACAATATAATGAGCTGCCACTGGAATAATTTTCGGACGAGTGGTTTAGAAATGACAGCAGTCTTAAGTTGGTTGCAGTTTTTCCATCTCACCCTGTAGACACTAATATAACGGCTACATTCGGTATTTCAAAATTTTTTTAACAGAATTTTTATTTTTTGAAAATTGCCAAATTATTTAAATCCAAATGGTGGAGGGTATTCAATGTAAACTTACAGTTTTTTACTTGTTACATCTTAAAAATAAAAACAATTTGTTGGTTGTGCATTTATTGCAATTCTGACAAGTGGGTATCTTTTTTCACGACTTTTTCAAATTTTCCCATCTTTACCACGGTTTGGTAAACTAGAAAAATCAAAAATATGGAAATCTCAATACGTATGGTCATACTCACATACGATTTTTGAATATCATACAGAATTACCAATTATTAACTAGAATTTATTTCAAAGGGTATTTGCTGAATTACTGTGGGAATTGATGTACAATTAGGATGCATATTTATTATTAGAAACCACATTATTCCATCCCTCTTTAGGTTTATATAACACTTTTAAAAATTATTTCATATTAATCGTTGTGATCTTATATTCGTGTTAAATAATATCTCAACAGAGCCCGATAGGCTATAAGAATTCGTTTCTCTAGTAGCGGAAATTATTTAATATTTTTTCAAGTTTTATTAGAAACCAAAAGAATATCACTGGTAATTTCGACATTATAACTTTTGTTGACAAATTATAATTTCATTTCTAGACATTGGTCGTTTCCGAAAAAAAATATTTAAAACAGAAACACTATTTTGTTATGATTTTTTTCTTTTGTATTCTTTGTGTTCTTTGTCCATCCCAACAAACATGCCACGTAGTAGTTTGCAAAAAATCCTGCTGCATCTGTACCTACAGTGCCTCTTCTTCGTATTAGTGGTCGTACAATTTGTGTTCTATATATATAGTACTCTTCCTCTCGATCTCTCTGTCCCTTTTTTTAAAAATCATCTTCAATAGATTCTCAATCCTGTCAGCTGTTGTCGTCTACTCTATGTGAGACTATCTGTTGTTGTTTCCTCATTGTTTGCCTTGCATTTTTTGTTTTTGTTGCACAAAAATTCATTTAAAAGTTAAATTAAAGAAAACATAGTTTGCTGGGCAAGCCGAAGACGAGTATCGAGGCTCTGACGGAAACTCTGGAGGAATTGGAAATGGATGATACCGAACGAAAACGCATCAAGGTCTTCCTCAGCCAAAAGGAAAAGATCGGCGAGCTATCGGATGACGATTTGGAGAAGCTGGGAGAACTGGGTTCCGGCAATGGAGGTGTAGTCATGAAGGTTCGTCACATACCCACACAACTAATAATGGCACGCAAGCTGATACATCTGGAAGTGAAGCCGGCCATCAAGAAACAAATCATTCGGGAATTGAAAGTGTTGCATGAATGTAATTTCCCCCACATTGTTGGCTTCTATGGAGCCTTCTACAGTGATGGTGAAATCAGTATTTGTATGGAGTACATGGATGGCGGTTCACTGGATTTGATCCTTAAACGGGCTGGACGGATACCAGAATCGATTTTGGGCAAAATCACATTGGCCGTCTTGAAAGGCCTCAGCTACTTGAGAGAAAAACATGCCATCATGCATCGAGATGTCAAGCCGAGTAATATTTTAGTCAATAGCAGTGGTGAAATAAAAATCTGTGATTTTGGTGTCTCTGGTCAATTGATAGACTCCATGGCTAATTCATTTGTTGGTACGAGGAGTTATATGTCGGTAAGCTTGAATTATTCAATACCCATCTTACCCATTCTCCTTCTAATAAAATGTGTGCTTCTTTGTTGCAGCCCGAACGTTTACAAGGTACCCATTATTCGGTACAATCGGACATCTGGTCTTTGGGTTTGTCATTGGTTGAAATGGCGATAGGCATGTATCCCATACCACCACCCGATGCCAAAACAATAGAGGCCATATTTTCTGCCAAAAATGAAGATGGCACACAGACTGTGGTTGAACCCAAGGTCATGGCGATATTTGAATTGCTGGACTACATTGTCAATGAACCCCCGCCCAAATTGGAGCACAAAGATTTCAGCGATGAGTTCAAGGAATTTGTAGATATTTGTCTTAAGAAAAATCCCGACGAGAGAGCAGATCTAAAGACTCTATTGGTAAGTTTGCTTTTATTTGTTATATTTAGAAACCATGACATTTAAGGTATTTGCTTTATTATTTTAGAATCATGCCTGGATACGCAAAGCCGAGGTCGAAGAAGTCGATATTGCCGGCTGGGTGTGCAAGACAATGGACCTACCGCCATCGACACCAAAACGCAACACTTCACCAAATCAATAAATATTTATATCCACTCTAACTACCCCCCTACTCATAGTAATCAAAACATTTACTAATAGACTTCTTGTCTAAACAACCGAACACCAGCCATTAACAAACAACAACAAAAAAATATGAAAATTATTTAAATGAAATATTAAAAGAAAAAAGCATTAAGTATTAAGAATAATAACGCAAAGAAAAATATGTGGTATGTTTCAATTTTTTCTTATTAATCAGTATCTATTTTTGATAAATTCCATGAGTATGAAATACATATATATGTATTGGAGATATATGTATTAAGGAGTGAAATATCAATCTAGTTAAAGTTCGAAGATTGCTCATCCACAAATCTAAGTATTTGAGGGGTATTAAGGAGTGATATATGAAACTAGTTGAAGTTCGAAGAGTACTCATCCACAAATCATCAAAACTTAAACAATCATAAAAAATACGAAGGAAGTCTACAAAAGTGTTTCTCTAAAACTTTGATTTTCAACAAATGTCACGACGGTCATAGACTGAGGCTTGCCATTAGATTTCTTTTGAAACTTTCCTGATCTTTAGTTATTTAATTCGACCTTTGTTTTTAAATTATTCCAAATGTAAGTTTAATGAAATTGAGCTCGAGGTCTTTGCTAATTTTTATTTATTTATTATTTTTGATATTTCTTCCTCCAACGGAAGACATTATCAGGAAAATAATATTTAAACATATAACAATAATATACAAAATCTCGTCAAGCACCGACATCGACCTTGTGTTGCTGTCGTCAGTGACATTGATAGCTTGTGGCAACCAGACGCCAATAGAAAGCGTTACCTTCTATAAAATAACGAAAAAATGGAATAAAATTGTAGATAAAGTTATGGAATAATGCAAACTACTTTTTTTATTTGTTCGAACAATTTCTGATGCGGCTAAATTTTTTAAATACGAAAGGATGACATGATATGGTTCTAAATTTTAAATAGTGCAGAAAAACAAAAGCTCCATCTAGAATATAATTCAGGCAATGTAATGGAATAATTAAAGACGGTGGATGCCTTTAGCGGCACCATTGGGCCAGTCCCTGCACAGGAACAAATAAAAATGTATCTTGGTATAATAAGGACAAGGGAGTGATATTGTGATTTCTTTATATTTGGCTAGAAACCATAAGTGGCTATCGTTAGAGGAATCCAGCATTTAAATGTGAATAAATCTTTTGTGTCTCGTACCATCGCTCGTTATCGTGATACTGGTAGCGTAGCCCGGCGTCAAGGAAGTGGACGGAAGAAAACAGCAACATCAGCAGAAATGGTTTGAAAAGTAAAGAAGTGACTTGATCGAAACCCATGTCGCAGTGGCCGAAAAATGGCTCGTGAGGTGATCATATCGCAATATTCCATTCGGCAAATATTGAATGAAAAATGAGCTCGGGGTAAAGCCATTGAAATTCCAAAAAGTGCAATAACTTACGCTGCAACAGAAAGAAAATAGACTCAAAAGAGCTAAAGAGTTGGTTCGCTTGGCCGAAAGTGGTGAACTGCCGAATTTGGTTTTCTCCTATGAGAAAACATTCGTTGTCCAGCGGTTTGTAAACAAACAAAATGATCGTGTTTACTTGCCAAAGTCAAGCGCCGGCCATGACGATTCTGTGGACCGCCATAACTGTTGATGGTCGCTCTCTGCTCGTATTAATCGACCGTGGCATCAGAATAAATGCCGAATATTATCGCGCAAATATTCTGGAGGGTGTATTAAAGCCTTGGGCACGCAAACATTTTGGCCGCAGACCTTGGATATTCGAACAGGAACAAGAATGGTTACAAAATGAGGTTTCTCACTTCATTCCCACGGCACAATGGCCACCAAAATCTCCGGATACCAATCCGTTGAAATATTGTGCCTGGAGTATTTTGAAAGTCAAGGTTGGCACTAAAAAATACCAAAGTGTCGATCACCTCAAGCAAGTGCTTCGCCGGAAATGGGCCAAAATACCGCAGAGCAACATTCGGGCAGGGTTTGACCGTTTCATTGGCCGTTTGAAGGCCATAATTTGTGCCAAAGGTGACCATTTCGAACAAATCTAAACTTATTCTAAAATTTGATGCTATTTCCGCATTTTTAGCTTTCATTCAATAAAATCTGAAAAAAATGTAAAAATTATGGCGTTTGACTTTGTTGCACTTTTTTATCTCACCCTGTATATGTAACCGCTATAGGCAAACAGCACAGCATAAATTAATCGAACGTGTGCGTGTAATTGGACATCGCTTGGCAACCCTCTCATACAAAACAAGTTATTCTTCAAACATCGACTTTTAACGGAAAATCGGCAGACAAATATTGTCGATTAGTCGAAAATCAAATAAGTCAGAAGTCGACTTACGTATCCCTAAAATCGCGATATAAACAAATTGCCAATTTGCTTGCGAAAAAGCTTGTTTTGTTTGCAACAACAACAATAAATAATAATAATAATAAGAAAATAAATAAATTTACAAGTTTTTTTTTATTAAAAATGGATTTCCAAATAACATCCGCTGGAAATAGAAAAATTTAACGTTGCATGAAATGAATGCAGATCGTAAATTCGCCTGGAAAAAATTGACAATGACATTAGCAGCTACAACTGTGATACGACCGATTTGCTAGTTAAACAAAAGAAAACAAGTGCGAATAGAATAGATCTTTAGTTGGCCCCTCAGCGACCCTCGCCTTTGGTTGTTTGTGGTTCTTGATCACAACAACCCGACCGACCGCCCTCCCGCTCGCCTTACCAACAACGTTCCACAGTTCCATAAATTGAACATTTAAACAGAGTGTCAGGAGTACGGCGCGGTGTCCGGCGGAGGCAAAGGCCTGTAAATTGACGGCAGTTTGTCTTTGCCATAACACACAGCAGAGTACAGCAGCAAACGACGTTGTATTTTTTCATCAGTCAGTCAGTCTTTGTTTGAGTGCTGGGCCGTAGTATTGTAAAAAAACAGAGCGAGCAGAGAGTAGTGCAACAACAACAACAACAAACAGCCAGCCAGCATTGAGAAAGGAAATTCACAACAAAAACATTGTTCTGTCAGTTACTCAGTCAGTTGGTCAGGTCCAGGTGCAGTTGGGGCAACACAGAACAGAGCTTACCACGAAAAAGAATGCTGGCTGTACTGGTTAGTTCTTTTAGTTCTTCCAAGGCGACGGGACGAAGGTTAAAATAAGAATTAAGAATTGCATTGTTTGCAGATGCACTGGAAAAGAATTAGCGATTCGAAGTAATAAGCAACAGTGAGATTTGTAAATTTTAATTAAGAATTATTTATTGGAGACTAAAGAGAAAACCAAACTAAATCTAAAACGTCAATAATTCTACCGGAAACGCAATTGACCCCCCAGACGAACGGCTGGTTCTGCACTAGACCATTGTTTTCCTCTTCGTCGAAACCAATGATTTGTTGATCTCATTGCCTTTGCATTTAGCCGTTGTTGTCGACGTCGTCGCGGTCGTTGTGAGCAACCCAACCACACACCATGGCCAACAGTAGTAGTAACACCAACAAAGAAAGCCCCTCACGGGAATCCACAAATTCATCATCCGCCCGCATATCATTACTCACCGATGCTGAATCATTCTCACGCGACTTTAGTTTGGGCAGTTTAAATTCGGCCGTAAGCCAAGATGAGTTCTTCCGCTGCACCGATCATGCCGAGAGTGTCTTGAAGCGAATGCAATTGTATTTGGAAAATCATCAATTGTGTGATGTTGTCTTAATTGCAGGCATCGATGGCAGACGGTAAGTACGATCCATATGAATTGCCTATAAAAAGTAGAAAGTTGTATTATTCGAAAAAATGGGTCATAATATGCGTAACAACAAAATCACAACAGCAGTAAATCAATTTTTCTGATTTGTCTTGTTACGGCGAAGATCATGTGTTTATGATTTTTTTAAATTACGATTCTAGTCTTTTTATTTGTTTTTTTTTTTTTTTTTTTGTTAAATATAGGATCTTAGCGGGATCTGAGAAACCGTGCTCTAAGTTTATTGTCATTATTAAGTGTCGTGGAAAAAATGAACATTAGTTTGAGGTTTAGAAGTGGACGTTGGCACGTCCGTATTACAAGATGGAATCAAGTCCAGTCCAAAGATGGCGCTTATCGGCAACCTACCCCAAAAATGTTTTCAATAATTTTTTCCAAAAGCTAATTTTTATTTTATCAAAGATGGATTATATATGTCCACTCCTTTTGAACATTTAGGTGCCGATTTAATCGAAATGTAATCGGAAAGTGGCCAAGTCATGAAAAGTAAAGCTTTTCATATAAGATGGCGATATTTTTCACCACAATAGTTGAACACTCGTGTTTATAAAGTTTCAAAGTTGAACAAATTCAACATTGGCAGAACACATTAAAAATATTTAAGAATCTCTTTTAAATTTTAAATATTTGACTTGGCGTATTTGGGTATTTGGGTAGTATGGACCATGGTATAGACGAACAAAAAAACATTTTACCATAGCCTATTATAAAAATCACAATTTGTCTTAAAACTAGTGTGGTGTGACTACCAACGCCGAATTTTTATTATTGCAGTGCAAGATATTGGACGTAAAAAAATTAAATTGTAGATGTTATGATATCAACTTCCAAAAACTACATTTATTTTTAGATGTCCAACATGGTTACGTAAAATTCGACATTGCGTACAAGATACTTCAAATACCCCACTACACGTCCATATATTCAAATATACCAAAAAATAACGTTGTAAATGTCGATTTTATTCATATAAGTAAACTTTTGCGGTGGAAAGTTGTAGCATTTCATTTTTTAATTTTAAAATGTTTTTATACTCTCAGCCATATGGCTAGAGAGGGTATATATCATTTGATACGGACAAAACGTGCCTAACCGAAAAAACGGTTTTAGATCCATTTCAGGACATTTGGGGGTGCGCACGATAATATTATTATCAAACTTAGTTCGAGTTGGGAGATGGACAATATCGGTTCACTCCTTCTGGTACCTCCCACACAAAATGTCAAAATTTTCAAAGAAAATAATTTACTGCACAGAAAGAGAAAGGATAATATGATTTTGATCCAACTTTGCGAATCCTAATATTTGAATCAGTGCTAGGTCAGGTGGTGGTAATATTGGTCCACTCCATCAAGTACCTTTCCCACAAAGGGTCAACATTTTGAATAATTATAACACTTATAAAATGTGATGTACATCTCCGATTATCTTCCAATTACACACATGACAATATTTTTATTAACCCAAGGTCTAGTGTGAAGATGGAATATATCGGTCCACTCCTTCTGGTACCTCCCCCACAAAAGTTCAAAATTTGGAATATTCATGAAGCTCATAAAACGTGAAATTAACATCCGATTCCATTTGGACTTGTCACATCTCAATATTTCCATAAACACAAGTTCTGTTGTAAAGATGGTAGAGATCGGACCATTCCTTCTGGCACCTCCTCCACATATTATGTGTCGGCAAAACCGACTGATATTATTTTACTAGTTTTGGAAAATTTTGATTTTAGCGCTTACTTTGTGTTTTATACCAAAATTTTTAACCAAATCAGCTGTAAATTGTGTGGATAATCAATCACATACTAAAAATTATCTACATTTTGCCCGATTTCTTTCTTTGTTAGCTAGAACAATGAACATATTTATTTTAAAAATTAAATTATTGTAAAAAAGCAGAAATTATTTTATCTGGAACTAGTCAGCATTGTTTAGATAAGATTCGAGGAATTGCTAAATTCGTTTCGTTTATGCCATAGAGTTATTGGATGTTGCATCGTTTGTCGATGTTCGAGATTTGTCATATTTCTATAATTTATAAAATGTGTCACCTATCAATAAATGTTTCGCGCCAAATTCGTTTTTCTCGATCAATAGGAAATCTATATTTTGGGGCAAATATCACCTTGAGATATTAAAGTTTTGATTCACTTAATTAGAATTTGCCTAAAATATATAAGCTAAGAGAATATAAAATTCATTTTATTCATGATAGCAATGCTACATACCTAATCAAAATTATGTTTATTCATTGAAAATATTTTGCGAAAAATTGGTATGCTTTTCTCTGCAAAAAAAAAATTCCGAAATAAGAAAAAAAGTTGTATTTAAGTGGCATTTCACGCACACAACTTTTGAAGCTAAGTTTTAGTTTTGCTGCGGGAATATAAAATTGTGATTTTTTTAAAGGATCCACAAAGATTGCGATATCGGTCAAGTTCAAGAATTTATTATACCCTACAACACTATGTGTTGGGGGTATTATAAGTTTGATTGGGCCGAAAATTATGTAACACCACGAAACATTGATTTCCCATATAGGAAAGTATATATGGATCTTCCTATCTCGCCGAGCTGAGTCGATCTAGCTATGTATGTCCGTCCGTCCGTCTGTCCGTCTGTCCATGTTAATTTGTAATCACTCTACAGGTCGCAATTATGGCCCGATCTTCATGAAATTTAGAATGGAGGTGGGGCTAGGGTCAGAATAGAACCCTATTTCTTTTGGAGATGATCGCCAAATGTTCAGGGGTTGAAATGGACCAAATACTGAAAAAATGTCGGATTTTGCAGTAGCTATACAGGTCCCAATTATAGACCAATCGGCGCGGAATTTCGCATGTAGCTAGAGTTTAGGGCGGGGAAGAAGCCTACCAATTTGGGTGGTCATCGGATAATATTTAGCGGGTAAAATAGGCCATATCTTTTTTGTTGAAAAAATTCAAAATTTTTCATTAAACCGCGAATATTTTAAGTCCCGGCGAAATCACAAAGCCATGACAAGGTTATTTCTGATCTTTACATTGATGTTAAGATCCAAAAAATCGAATATATAGCAAATATATGCGATATATATGTCTATCAAAGAAGATATGCTTGAAAGATCTCATATATGTCGAGAACGGCTGAACAGATTTCGACAGTTCTCATTAATTCAGAATGGCCTCTTGGCAGGAAAGGAAAAACGTCTAAAAAACGCATACAAATATCTCTCTAAAGATGAAAATATTGATTTTGTAATATTTTCTCATATTTTTTCCATTTTGTCATATTTTTGGCATATTTTCATTTTGAATTAAACATTTGGTAATATTCCTACAGCTAACAAAACTAAGTAGTTAGGATATCAGGATATCACATACAGATCGTATTTATGGCCCGATCCTTACGAAATTTTGCATGGGGATAAGATGAGGGTCAGAATAGAAACCTACTCTTTTTGGAGATGACCGCAAAATTGTCAGCAGGTCGTAATTATCGCCCGATCTTCACGCACATTTGATTGGGGGTTACCGGACATTGCAAAAGCCAAGCAGTTTTGCATGGCCATCCAAAAATATTCAATGTGTAAAGGAGTTTGCCAACTTTTGTAGACAAAATACGAAAATGTCCATTCCAGTAATTTTTTGGAGAATTCACATATACAGGAAAGACGCACTTCTGACTATTTCGTTAACGCTGATTTCGTTGAAGAATATGGTCAATGTCTGTATCTCATATAGATGCGTTTCAGTCAAAAACCAATAATAAATGTTAATCTGTTGCCACTTCTGAGAGATTATAGGTCTTTGGGAAATATTGGTTCCAGATCTAGGAAGACCATTTACGTGCAACATCTACCAATAAATTGGAAATGAGCAAATTAGTTTAAGTTGCTATTATTCGAAAATTAGAGAACGAAACCTGATGGTTTTCTTTTATTATTTGTCACAATATCTGGTGGAATTCTTTCGAGTATCTCGCCTATATAAACTGTATCGTTGATTATAGTGTTGTAGGGTATTCAACGGTCGGCCCCGCTCGACTGTAGCCTTTGCTTACTTGTTTTATATAAAAATTCAATATTAAGTTATTAGAGGAAAATATGTTAATCTAACACTTTAAAAGCATATCAAAATCTCATAGTCTTGATTAAAAATATATTAAGAAAGAACTCTTGGGTTTCTTTTCTTGGCTTTAATTTTGGAAAACAATTTTAAACCTTACGATGTACCAAATCGTACCCTTTTCTCTTTGTTTGAAATATTTTTCGAATTATTTTTTTATTTAGGTTTGATTTCCGCCGTAATTAAAAGAAATGTTAGGATATGTAGGAAAATAAGTTTGAAAGATATTATGTGTATGTATCTATTTTCTCTCTTTGATGCCAAAGTTTGAAAGAGGAATAAATGATCTGTACACCACAATTTTGTCCAGAATTTATTGGATGCAGGATATATCATTTAACAGCTAAAACATATAATAAATTATTTCACAAAAGATAACCCCTTACAATCCATTATGACCAGCAGACAATCCATAACAATTGGGAAGAAAACAAAGAAATTGCATTTCCTTTGTTAAACTGTCAACGATCCTTTCTAGTCTCAGTGGAAACTATTATTGCAAATCATAACGTCCCGTCCATCTCTCACACTTTTCCAAGATGCATGCAGACGTTTTTCATATTTCCCAGCATGTATTGTAGTCGTTGTGTCGTTTGGCATTTCTTTTATTATTTTGTCTTTCCGTCAGTCTGCCGCTTGGATATTAAACAAACAAATCCATTAATTTCCCACATTAAGAGATTTTCAGCAGCAGCATCTCTTTGTTTTTGTATCGTTTTTGAATCGCGCATTTGTTTTAATATGGAATCTTTAGAGACAACTGTAAGTTTCTTTGTTTGTATTTCGTCGTCTTCTTCTTGCTGTTATTTCCTTTTCGTATTGCAATTTTGATATTGCTGCTACTGCTGCTGATGCCGTTGCTCGGATGGCAGTAGCTGATGTTGTTTTTATTGACAACGATGAGATGAAAAGAGACTGTGATCGGTAGAAAGTGAATTGTATTTGTTGTAGTCCAACAATAAAGAATAGTGGTGGTACGACTACAACTATTACTGCTAGCTACCGCTGCTGCTGCTGGAGAACTTTGCATGACGCTTGTCGCTTGGGGTCGATCGCTGGATTGTTATGGTCGATGATGGTGTACTTGATGTCGCTGTTTTCATTGATTCATTTGTTTTGTTTTTGGTTGTTGCGACTTATTGCGGTAGACATTCGGCTAGATATGCATGCCGCAGCACCACACAGCTAGCAAATACATTCAACCATATATTGTCTACCGTCTGTCGTTGTATGCCACTGCCACCACCACCACCGCCTCGCTCTATTCCCCCATTCGTGTTAGGAATGATCAATTAGCTTGTTGTAGTCATCGTCGTTCATTCACTTTATTAATTCTTTGTGGAGAGGTTTTTCGTTGTTTTGTTTTGTTTTTTTTTCTTTTCGTAATTTTTGCAGACAACTTTTGCACATGCTTTTCAAACAAAGGCGATCAGCAGAGGTGTACCTTCATCCATAGATTCGTTTATGGTTATATGTTTGTTTATTTACCATAATGGGACATGGAATTATTTCTTGTAATGCGAGTTACTCTGTTCTGTGTCAGTTGTTACAACAAAGATTTTTAAAGGTATTTTTTATTTTATACTGCTGCTCAAGATAATCACATATGAGATGGGTTATATTGAGTTCTGTTTTTATTAAAAAATCAAAGTTTAATTATTTTATAAAAAAAATTCTATTATGTAATTGATTTTGATTGATCAACCTTCTACTATCATTCAACTTCACGCTTCAAGCAATTCCATGCTACACTTCAAAGGGTTATTTAATATCGTTTGCAATGAATGCATTGTATCACAATAATAATTTATAAATATTGATCGATATTTCCGCAATATCGTGCACACAAGTTATTTATATATTTTTCTGCTTATAAATATTTTATAATTTCTTTGGAGGTCTGTAGAGGTTTTGTAACCACAAAATATCAACACTAGAAATATCTAGCGGATTTTGTTGATATTGAAATGCGTATATCCATAACGACTCATGATGTTGAGGCTTGTGTGAGTTTGAAACTAGATTTGTAAATATGTCTGATTTTATCAGAATCGCGATTCACCACAGAATGTTGAAAATCATCGCGGTTCGACGTAATGTTATTATTACTTAAATATATCACAGTAAAGTACTATGTGACGTATAAAGAATGTGTAGCTTATACGCCACCACAAACTTTCAAATTAAAATGGACCACCTCATGCGCACAAGAACTTGTTTGGAGATAATGAAAATAACTTGATCTTTGACCTCTGCTGAGATTTCACTTGCCCAATATAACTATATCGATATTAATCGAAAAATGTTTGGCCTTTCATGTAAAAGTGTTTACTACGATAACTGGTTTTCCCTTTATCGAAGAAAATTGCAAAACTAGTAGGTTTTTGCAGGTTCTGGAACAGGCCTATTAATTACAAATTTAAGACTGAAACAAATATTACAACATGTCAGTGCAATTTTTTGGAAAATGCGGAAATATGAGTAAGGTAACAGATACAGCGGACCGAAGTATTCCATTTTCATACTTCATCTAATACAGATAAAAATGTTGGTATGTGCAAAATTACAAAAAAATCAACATTTATATCCAATTTTATGCGAAATTCCGATAAATTCCATATTTATCTCAGGTTTCTGGTTGCGAAAATATAGCAAAAATATTTGGATATGTGAAATTTGAAGAGAGTTGAATGCTTATATCGCTTTCTTTGAGCGTTTTGTTTTTCAAAAATCTTGAACTCTATATGGGGGAGGTACCAGAAGAAATGATCCGATCTGTACCATATTTATAACGGATCTTGTGTTGATGGAAATATTGAGATGTACCAAGTCCGAATGGAATCGGATGTAAATTTCTCGTTTTATGAGCTTCATGGATACCCAAAAATTTGACCCTTTGTGGGGTGGTATCAGAATGAGTGGACCGATATATCCCATCTTTACACCAGACCTTGGGTTAATAAAAATATTGTGATTTATGTAATTTAAAGAGAACCGGTTGCTTATTTCGGATTTTCTTATCGTTCTAGTTATTCAATACTTTGACCCCTTTGTGGGAGAGGTACCAGAAGGAATGGACCGATCTCCACCATCTTTATTACAGATCTTGTGTTTATGAAAGTATTGAGATCAATCAAGTCTAAATGGAATTGGATGTTAATTTCGTGTTTTATGAGCTTTATGAATATTCAAAATTTTGACCCTTTGTGGGGAGGTACTTCATGGAGTGGATCGATATTGTCCATTTTCGCACCTGCCCTATCACTGGTGTAAATATTAGGATTTGTAAAGTTGGAGCAAAATCGGATTATCCTTTCTCTTTCGTGCAGTATTTTTTTTTTTTTTTTTTTTGAAGATTTTAACATTTTATGTGTGAAGTACCAGAAGGACTGATATTGCCCATCTCCTAACTCGATCTACGTTTGACAACAATATTACGTTGTACCAAGTTTGGAACAAATCGAATACTCCCTTCGAGAATTTTCGTGCGCACCAGCCAGACAGATGGACGGACATTGCTGACATTTGTCATTTCGTTTGTAACACCACCAAAAATTCTTCGATGTGCATATCGACTACTTCCTCCACTTTATTAGAGACAGCCATATGAGGGAAGCTATAGCGGTCCATATTTACGTACAGCTCCCAAATAACTATACCTCTTGATTTTTCTCATTTTGAAGGTTCTGATCAAAAGTTCCTATGAAGTTAGCTGTAATTTAATATATTTACCTCTCTAAAAAATATTCACTATTGGTCCATCATTTGGTAGGCTCATTAAACGGAACCTACCCATATTCGACATTCTGATGTTTTAAACACATCTGTAAAGGCTTTGTTTTCAATTTCACCTTTTGTAGCTGAAAATGGCTTCTACTTCCTGTGGTAGAAAATTGTCTATATTGGACCACGGTACATGTAGGCGTTTCTCAGAGAAAATTTTGTCGGCATTTGCTTATTTACTTGTTTAATTTGACCTCATCCTTTTACATCCTTCATTTAATCTGGCATATATGTCCCTAGTTGAAATAAAAGGTTTAGACACCATGTCTCGTATGTCTAGTATGATCCGTTTCGGCACATATGGAATCGAATGGCGAATTCGATTACGTCCAAATATGATAAGCAATATTTCTTATATCAAACATACGTCCAGTTCGTCGGTGTACTTCTTCTTATAGTCATTTGTTGCTCTATTTTAAAATGATTGCTACAGTCCAAGTTCTTTCCAAGATTCACCTTTTTACCAGCCTTATCATTAAAAAAGTGACATGTAACATAATTCGCATATTGTGTCTCCTGTAGGGTGCCTGCTCACCGTTTGGTATTGTCCGCATCGAGTGCATATTTTTCCGCCATGTTCACGGGCTGTTTGAGGGAAACAAAAGAAGAGGAAGTAACACTGGGCGAAGTTCATGGTGATGCATTACAAATACTGGTGCAGTACTGCTACACGGGATTCATAGAACTGCGAGAGGATACCGTGGAAACACTGCTCGCCACCGCTTGTCTACTGCAGCTGAATGCCGTCGTCACTGCCTGCTGCAATTTTCTCGCCAGACAATTACATCCCTCAAATTGTCTGGGAGTTGCATTTTTTGCCGAACAGCAAAGTTGTAATACATTGTTGCAGCTGGCCACAGCCTACACATGCCAACATTTCATGCAGGTTAGTTTGTTAAACCACTTAAATTCAAACGATTTATTTTATTTATGTTACTCTTTACCATTGTTAAAAATAGGTTTGCAAGAATCAGGAATTTTTCCAATTGAACGCCGATCAATTGGCCAAATTACTGGCAAGTGATGATCTCAATGTTCCCTCGGAACAGGATGTCTTCCATAGTCTAATGTCATGGATACAGCACGATCCCAATAATCGTGAAAATCACATTCCGGAATTATTGGCCCTGGTAAGACTGCCACTTTTGCCGCCTTCATTCATTATGGATCATGTTGAGAGTGTGTGTGCCTCAAACGAATGCCAACAGCTGGTTATGGAGGCCCTTAAATGGCATTTATTACCCGAAAGAAGATCTCTCATCTCGTCGGAACGCACAAAACCGCGAAAGTCAACAGTAGGTAGGCTGTTGGCGGTCGGTGGAATGGATGCCCATAAGGTAAAGGTAGATATTGATGTGGATTTGTTCATAAGCGTTGATTGGAGAGATATAACCTGATTTTAGGGAGCCATCAGCATAGAAAGCTACTGCCCTCGTCTCGATAAATGGACGGCTTGGAAAAATATGTCCGCCAGACGTTTACAGTTTGGTGTGGCAGTTATGGATGACAAATTAATAATAGTGGGTGGTCGTGATGGCCTTAAAACCCTTAACACTGTGGAGAGTTTGGACTTGAATACCTTAGCATGGACCCCATTAAATCCAATGGGAACACATCGTCATGGGCTGGGTGTTGCCGTACTGGAAGGACCCTTATATGCTGTAGGTGGTCACGACGGTTGGAGTTATTTGAATACCGTTGAAAGGTAAAGAGTGAGAAATGTGTTGCATAAAGTTTCAATGAATGAATGAATGAATTTCAGGTGGGATCCTGTTGCCCGCACATGGAGTTATGTTGCACCAATGTATTCAATGAGATCAACGGCGGGTGTTGCTGTATTAGGTGGTCGTTTATATGTTGTGGGCGGACGTGATGGCTCTGTGTGTCACAGATCAATAGAATGTTACGACCCTCACACAAACAAGTGGACAATGCGTGCTCCAATGAACAAAAGAAGAGGTGGTGTTGGAGTAAGTATAATAATTGCTAATACAAGATATGTATTTTACAAACCAACATTAAAAAGTAGTAAAATTTCTCTGCATGAATTATTACATAGTACTCATTACTATGTAGTAAATTATTACATACAGGGTGAAATAAAAAAAAAAAACTGCAACAAAGTCAAATATCATAATTTTTACATTTTTTTTAATTTTATTGAATGAAAGCAAAAAAATGTCGGAAATAGCATCAAATTTTAGAATAAGTTTAGATTTGTTCGAATTGGGCACCTTTGCACGAATTATGGCCTTCAAACGGCCAATGAAACCGTCACACGCTGCCCGAATGTTGCTCTACGGTATTGTGTACCATTCCCGGCGAAGCGCTTGCTTGGGGAGATCGACACTTTGGTATTTTTTAGTACCAACCTTGCTTTCCAAAATACTCTAGACACAATAGTCCAACGGATTGGTATCCGGAGATTTTGGTGGCCATTGTGCACTGGAAATGAAGCGAGGAACCTCATTGTGTAACCATTCATAGGTGGCGCTAGCTGAGTTCGATGGTGTTGAGTCCTGTTGGAATGTTCAAGGTCTGCGGCCAAAATGTACAATATTTGGTATTTATTCTGATGCCACGATCGATTAATACGAGCGGAGAGCGACCATCGGCTGTTATGGCGGCCCACACCATCACCATGGCCAACGCTTGAGTTCTGGTGGGCAAACGAAGGTGCACATTTTCAGCTGACCTCTTTGGCAAGTAAACACGATCATTTTGTTTGTTCACAAACTTCTGGACAATGAATGTTTTCTCATCGAAGAAAGCCAAATTCTGCAGTTCACCACTTTCGGCCAAGCGAAGCAACTCTTTAGCTCTTTTTAGTCTATTTTTGTTGCGGTGTAAGTTCTTGCGCTTTTTGGAATTTCAATGGCTTTACCCCGAGGTCATTTTTAAATATTTGCCGAATGAAATATTGCGATATGTTCAGCTCACGAGCCATTTTTCGGCCACTGCGTCGCGGGTTTCGATCAAGTCGCTTCTTTACTTTTCGAACCATATCTGGTGATGTTGCTGTTTTCTTCCGTCCTCTTCCTTGACGTCGGGCTACGCTACCAGTATCACGGGGTGCGGACAAAGAAACCTTGTTGACCTCTTATAACGCGATAGGTCGGTCTGTGGACAGCTATGCGGCAGTGTAGTCTGTGAATACTAGTGCTACGCAGTGAAAGTGATACAGGCACGCACAATACGCTGCACCTCTTTAATTGCACAGCCAAACCTACCCAACTCACTCCATGTACTACTGATACAACAACAACAACCAGTATCACAGTAACGAGCGATGGTACCAGACACAAAAGATTTATTCACATTTAAATGCTGGAGTGCTCTAACGATAACCACTTGTGGTTTTCCTGCCAAATATAAAGAAATCACACTATAACGCTTGAATCCCATCACGAATAACTTTTTCTGGAAAATGCTCACAAAAATGCTTTTGTACGCTTGCAAACAATATAATGAGCTGTTACTGGAATAATTTTATCCGCTGTCGGACGAGTGGCTTAGAAATGACAGCAGTCTGAAATTGGATGCAGTTTTTCATCTTACCCTGTAGTAATGAGTACGCAGATAATAGGATGCCTTAAGTTCTTGTCATTAGACTAGCTACGTACTTTGTCCTCGTTCGCATTGTTATGTACTGGTTTTCTTTTTTTTAAGGTTGCAGTTGCTCATGGCTTCATTTATGCTTTGGGTGGCCACGATTGTCCCGCCAGCAATCCATCTGTATGTCGTACTGATACCGTTGAACGGTATGATCCTAGCACTGATACCTGGACTCTAGTAAGTACATTTATTCTACATAGAATGTAAACGTTTTTAACAAGTTTCTTTGACAGATTTGTTCCTTAAGCATTGGCAGAGATGCAATTGGTTGTGCTCTACTTGGTGATCGCCTAATGGCTGTGGGTGGTTATGATGGTAATCACTATTTGAAAACCGTCGAAGAATACGATCCAGAGGCCAACGAATGGACACAAGTCTCGCCGCTAACCTATAGTCGGGCCGGTGCCTGTGTTGTGGCCATTCCAAATATAATTCCCTCAACACCACCACTTGCCAGTTCAACAGTTTAGTGGATTTATTTGCATTTTTTATTTTTTGTTTTTTGAAATGTTAACATTATACTGTGTCTTTGTCTCTGTCTGCCTGCCTGTCTACCTACCTACCTTTCTGTCCATATAGCCATCATGATATTACGATCAATCCATGAGGCGAGCATGTAAAGAATATTGTATTTATTGGTGTTGTTATCCCCATAAGACAAACAGTTCATTCACCCGCTCGCTCACTTGCTGGCTGCTTTCCTATTTTTACATAGCACTGCTGTTGCTTATATTTTTATAACATTGTATTTGGCATGACTTGCTTTAGGTGCTTTCTTTTTGCAGACCACTCGAAAAAAAAAACGAAATGGACAGAAGGACATAACAAACATTCCATCATTGTGTTTTTCGATATTTTTTTGTAAATGTATATAACATGCGTTTTCCACAGACGATCCAATTCAATTTTATTCTTAATTCATTCTTTTCCTTTTTTTGTACTTTTTTCGGCATTCTGCTCCAAATTTGTTTGTAATTCATTAGAAGGTGTGGAAACCAGTGAGATTGAACCCTGTCTGCTACCGCCGCAATGTGGAATTTGTGGATTATTATCATCTATAGGAATGTGAATAGTTTTTTCACTTGCAACTGATATTTTTCTAAAATTTTATCTTAGTATTAGCCAAGAGCATACGTATTATATTTATAGCAATATATCAAAACAAATATTTTATAATTTTAATCTCTAAATAAAAACGTACACACATACATACAATTATTGGATAACGAACGAACGTTATACGAAGAAATGAAGTTGTTTGAACTTTTGGTGTTGGGGGATGAAGAAATCATTTTGTTACATCAAAGATTTGTACATAAATTGTTTAATAATTAAAAGGGATTAGATCATGTGTTAGTACTTTATTTTTTTTTGTTTATTTTCAATTTGTACAGTAACCTAGCCCATAGGGCCATGCGCGTTTCCAAAAACTTGTAAAGATGACTGCACTAAATTAATTATAATATCCGTAATCTTAAAAGTCTTATTTAAAATTATACATTAAAAAAAAATTAACAAAAAAAAATATGAGCAAAATTAATAATTGATTGAATAATTACATGAATCAGAAATGCAAGGGAAACACAAAAACAAATGAATTAAATGTCTTAAGATTAGGTGGCAGATTGTTAAAAATGCGAACAATTCTTACATAGAAAGATTTTTCAAGGAAGGGGTCATCTTGAACCATCAAAAGTTCGAAAGCCCGATGACCGATATTATAAAGTGTTTGTGGGGCGAATTCACATCAGATTCACTATGGTTGGAATTGTGGCTGAAACACCGGAGAAGTCTTATAGCACAAGGCTTACACATTTAACAAATACCGAGATCAGTGGCACGGATCTGACATATACATTGCTGTATATATTTTATCATTGGAGAGCTAAATCAGCTTTCCCGGACCATGGTCTATGGAATATATTAATTTCCAAACATTATCGGGAATCCTTATATTGGTTTCTTCATGGCAGCCAGCTGCATCGAAGGAAGAAAATATACTGATTGTCTCAGTATTGTTTTAGTATTAACAACCATGGTACAATGATATCAAGGTAGGGCTATGATACCATATGATTTCAATTTTTTATTTTCTTGGCTTAATATGTCATCTTTATTTCTTTATGTATGCGTTTTCTTTTCAATAACAAAAAAAAAATTGTTCAGAAAACATTCAAATTCGGATGTTTTCAAAATGTTTATTTCATCGTATGCATTGACAAAATCTAGAGTTTTTGTAGCGAAATAATCCTTTAGAGATATATAGAACCTGGTTTTGAAAAGAAATGTTGACCTTTCATTCAGTTTTCGCGGTTTTCAATTATTTATTCAAAATAATTCAACAAGTTGTTTGTTTTTTTATTGTTTTGATACTAATTCTGACATTACAAGCCAAACAGGTAGACCTCTATACTTGCAATTTTTCAAAGTTGACCTACCTTCTCTTCGTTGTACCATGGTACCATGTTAACAACAATCACATCTCAAAAAATTCGATGCTGATTTATTGTTTAATTGTTTTTCGGTGGGTTTCTTCTCTTCAACTGATATTCATAACTTATCAATCCTCTTGTGAAAGTTGTTTTAAACGCGTCGCTTGATCACTCTTCTTCTCAAAGAGGCTTACATAAAACCGAGAAACTCCTTCGTGGTCGCTTCCAACTCCGACACTCTGGTTTTCTTTTAGGAATGCTGGAGCTGACGGGAATGGTCGGTCGAACCTTCTATTATTATACATCTGGTTAAGGTGGGTGGTATTAAAAGTTCGGCGCTTTTGACTTGCTGATTCTTTTAAGCGTTTTATTTTTTTTGTCGTAATGATCTTAGTTTCATCGCTAAGTACCCAAATTTACAGTTAATACCAAAATTTAATTTCCCATAGGAAAAAGAGATTTGGCTGTTATCGATAATTGTCGATTGCAAGTTACAGATCGAAAGATAGCGCGAGAATTACAGACGAACTTGGTTAATGTTTTATTATACGGTATTTTGTATGAATTTAAATTAGTCATTCTTCTTCCTTATTATTTAATCGTTTAAACAATTATATATTTATTTCTGGTAATTTTCATACAAAGCAAAGCCCGCCAAGCTTACAAATAACCCAATAACTCTTTTGTATTCTAGCCAAAACATTTCGATATGGCAACATTGATTATTTTATACGTTACTTCTACTCCATTTATTCTATCGTCCGTTTATTCCACTTCAGGTTTGTTATTGTTCTCTGTGTACTCTGCTCTCCCACAGAGAATTTACCGTGACGTGAACAAACGGCGAAAACACAGTCAGCCAGTCAGTCCAACAAGTTGTTTAGTGGATTCTGTTGTGTTCACATCGTTGCGGACAGCGTCGTATTTCGGTATTTCGTGTGCGACGGATATCTTCTTCGTTTATTGTGCATTTAAATTCGAAATAAAAAAAGAATAAAGTACAAAAGTATTTTGCAATTTCTGTTGAGTTTTAACGAAGACATTCTTTTAATTGTTTTGCGTTTATTGCCCCGTCTGACGATTTGTCTACGCGCTAATTTTTACGCCAGCTAGAATTCGCTTTTTTATCAAATACCTACAGCAAAAATACTAAAGCAGCTGTTATTTAATATAAAAGTAGTTAAGTGTTTTCTTGATGTGGAAGAGTGAAGAGTGCGAACGAATGTGAAATTCATGAAATCAAATCGAATAATAGAAAATAAAACAACAACAATAACCACTGCGAAATTACTAAATCAGTAAGACAAACCTTAATCACATGCATGCACACACATACACACACATTTAAGTCGAGATTCCCCATCTAACTACAAAAACAACAAAGAGAGTTACATTGCAGCTTTTCGGTGGTAGTGTGTGAACATCATCATCATCGTCATATAACGATAACAACAACAAAAACCACGGTATAAAATAACTCATTATCAAGATATTCTGTCATCATCGTTATCTTCGTCTTTCTGTGTTTGTCCAGAATTTGGATTTTGGGTGTTTTATCAGAGCTTGGAGCCTAAACCAACAACAATAGTAAATACACGAAAATCAACAACAATAGCAACAAAATGACGGATATAAACGAATTAATGGGATCTGCCTTTGTGCGCGTAAAGGTAAATTTAATTATTTTTGATTTTCTTCGATTATATTTGTTGTTGTTGCCGCCTTTGTTTGAAATTATTGGTAAATAAGTGTATTATCTATTGGCTGACTAATTGAATGATTGATGCGGTTTTCCTTTATTGCATTCGAGTTACAATTCAAGAGTTGTCGATGGTGGAGATTTGCTAGACTTGTTGCGGGAAAATGTCTGTGAAATAGTAGATTTTTAGATGGGCTTGTTTTTAGGAATTCTCAGACGTTACCTGGTCTAGGTTAATGGACTGTGCCTTTAAAATTGTTTTAGAATTTTCTAATGCCTACTGATTGGAAAATCTAAAAGTCCTAGCATTAATTAATTTTACCAGAAAAACCCAAATTTTGTAAAGACTCTGTGAATTGTTTTAAATGTTTTTTAAATTGATTTTGGAAATCTTATTCCTTTAGGATTTTGACCCAATAGCGACAAAACGACATTCAATTCGGCTGGACCGAATTTAATTTATAACAAAAGCGACTATCCTCTAAATCACCCCAAACCTAAATGTAGCTGATTTTTAAATAACGAAAATCAGAAGGTACTATTACGTGGGACCTATATCAAAAATGGACCTATTATGAATATTTTTTTGCGAGAAGATAAACTGACCAATGAGAACACGGACATATTAGTCGAGGACTAAAACGAAAAAGTCGTGCTATTGGATGGTTTTGGTAGTTTTTGACTTATGAAATGTGTTTTATACAGACAATCACACCACGATATTACGGGATGCGAGAGAACTCTCCTCCGACCAAGTTTGAAAAGGTGGAAAACTAATCTATGTGTAGACGCCAGTCGTACTCGGAATTCCGGAGCAAGAAATCCAACCAAATCCCGAAGGTCGAAACAAGGAGTGCAGTTCTCATGAACTGTTTAACTTCCACATTTTCAAAAAATCGTCTACCCCCAGGCCGTAACGTATGCCGAAGATTACAAATAATAAAAATAACGCCTAATTACTGAATCAACCGCCACACTTTTACCACTGTGGAGATGAGAACGCAGTTAATTGTGCAGATCAATGGATATTTTATTCCGACACAAATTGCCGCAAGATTCCAGGGGCCACATTTGACAGAGTGTTATGTCGTCCGCCGTCAAGCCACAGCTGTCTATGATAAATTAAAAATTGGAGCAAAGGCCTATAACGGGCTAGCCGTCAGTATTTGAACCCCGACAGAAGACCTTGTCGACTGGCTCCAGGGTATGCGGGCCAGACCTGCCATAAAGCTATCTTGAGATATGCCTCATAAAACCAATGGACCATTCACATGGGGATGTGAAGGCTCTTCCCTTAAGTCATATGCTTTGGTTACAGTAGCTGTTTGGGTGTTATATGAGGATTCAACCAAACCAGGAAGGACCTATCCGATGTAAAGCGGGAGGTTCAACGTTATAAGAGAACCACTATGTCAAGAAACCTATCGGCAGGTCTGAGTAGCATTTATATATGCTACAGACACCAATGCTATTAACACCTAAGAACGTCGCCTTCGAAATTTTGTATTTAAAGTTCGTCATGGAAATCAAGACCTCTGGAGAAAAATTTGTGAATATAGATCCACATATTCGGTATTTGGAGTTAGTAATGGGTATCAGTTCCTTTGGCGGAAAATGTTCTAGATGAGGCAATGAGTTCGTAAATCCTCTCAATTTTGATCATTTTGAAGGACCAATCACTTGGGCAAAGGCTTTACTAAAAAGGTGAACATTTTTGTTCACGTTTGGATGGTAAATGGGCCATGTAAGTCCACGTTTCCATATAGCCCCCATGTAACGGTACCTCCCCATATTCGGTATTCTGATGATTTTAGCGATATTTTTGACCGGAATTATTTCAAACTTCGTAATTGAATTTCGTAATGGGTACTACAATGTATGACAAAAAAAATGCCCATGCTGGTCCATGCCTACGTACACATAACGGTACCTCCCAACATTCGGTATTTTGATGATTTTAGTGAAACTTTTGTACCAGAATTGTTTCAAATTTTGTATTTAAAGTTCGTAACAAAAAATCACTTATGCTGGTCCACGCCTTCGTATAGCCCCCGTATAAAGATACCTCTCTATAATCAATATTTGGATGATTGTTCACCCGAATTGTTTCAATTTCGTAATTGAACTTCGTAATGGGTACTACAGCCTATGTCATAAAAATTTTTATGAACTAAAGCGTCTTTGTATAGCACCCATATAAGGGGTTTCTTTTGAGAGGTATTTCTCTACGGATTTTTTTTTTGAAAATTTTTAAGTTCCTTCAAAATTGTGGAGGTTTGAAAAGTTTGGCCCGGACGAACTTTGCTGCTTTTTTAATAGCTGTTTTTAATTGTTTCTCATAGTTTAAGCGACGTTTGAAGTTGGTAATGTGTGTCAACTCCTCTGGCTGAAAATGGTCTATATGGTTCTAAATTTTCGTACAGAAGCGAATAAACATTTTGGATTATTAGTAAACAAAACCGAAGTATTAGAACATGTTTTCATTGGGCAAAAATATATATTTTCATTCCCAAAAATTCCGTAGGTCTTTAGGAAACTAAAGTAACGACATCATTTCGTTTATTACGGAGACCCATTATCTATATTGTTTTTTTCTGGATTTTTAGCTATCTTGTTATTTTAAAGGTATTATTTCAATTTTTTATATTTTTTCGGCTTAAAATGGAACAACTTCCTCGTCTAGGAATTATCTCTGTCTGGTCGCAAAACAAGGAGAATATTTCACAATGTTCTTGTTTATTTTATGTTTTCCTTGCTCTATTTCACAAAAACAAAGATCATTGCAATTCATTGACATGTGGCTAAAATTAAAAAAAAAAATAAAATAAAATGAGAACAAAATACCAAACACCAGCAGCTGCTCCCCCCTGGTGACCGATCAGGCATGCCGGCAGTCAGGCAGTAAAGCCTCTTTCCTATACGCCCCTAAAATAGATGATGCCATTTAAACTTGACATGTTGATGCTGTTGTTGTTTTCCTCAATTTGGCAAAATTGACAAAATATGTTCGTTCTCGTCGTCGGGGCGATAAATGGCTTTTGTTGATTTTGTATTTAACGATTAACAAAAATCCCCAGCCGAATTGTAAGTAAAAAACGGCCCCCACGTTTAATTTTTGTTTTGTTCGCAGTCAACCTGATTTTACTTTTGGGTCATTCGCTTCTTTTAATTGCGTGCGACAACTGTTGAACAATTCTATGAGCAAATGAATATTAATAGGGATGCCAGTACGGGATGCGATTGCAGTCTTGTGGCATTATTTTTCGGGAATTATTCAAATTTTTGTCGGTCTCAGATATATGCTCTAAGCTTTAACCGTCTATGCGATTAGGTCAAAACATAATCAAACGGAAGATTTTTTTCGATTAAAGATTTTATAAAATTAAACGGAATTTATAAAAAAAACCAGTAAGGAAAGTAAAAAGTCGGGCGGGCCGACTATATGATACCCTACACAACCAAGCATATTTAGAAGAGCTTCCGTAAAAAAATAATTTATTTGAATTTATTTATTAGACCTTAACACCTATCAGTATTTGGATTTAGAGCAGTTATAATTCGATTTCAGAGGAAACTAATATAAGGGAGGCATATCCAATTATGAATTGATTTTTACTAAATTTGACGGAGACATTTTTATCTTTTATACCAAATAACATTGCTATAGAGTGCATGATATAACTTCGAGAAGGATTATATTAAAACAATATGCATCGGAGCCGAATTCCGCTAAATGGAAAAGTACGTCCCGAAATTAGCAATGCACAATAAACATAAAATCGGATTAAGATTTATATGGGAGCTATATCCAAATCTTAGCCGATCTGCACAAAATTTGGTAAAAGTATTTCCGAACTCTATAAGATATCTGGTACCAATACCATTGTTGTCGAATGCGTGTTACGAATGTGAGGGGCTCAAAGACTAGATCGGCTGAAACATATATATGGAAGTTAAAGCTATATCTGAACCGATTTTCGCCAAATTTGATGTACTTGCTTCTAGACTGAATTTGGTTGGATGTAAATTCTGGTCATTTGGACTGATATTCGTCATTTGGTGCACAATTAATCCGAAATCGGTTGAAGATATATGGTAGCTATATCTAAATTTGATCAGATTCTCACCAATTTCAATAGGGTACGTCCTTGGGCCAAATAAATATTGCGACCTGTATTTTGTTCACAAGAATACATGGTCAGACGTACGGGCGGACGGACAGAAATGCATAAATAGGCTCAGAAAGTCATTCTTCGAAAAACCTCAAAAGTAACTATGGGTCTATATCGCTTCCTTCTCCATGTTACAAACAAATGCACGTAGATATAATACCCTTACCACTATGTGGTGTAGGGTATAAAAATTCAATTCCTAAACTTCACATTTAGAGGGAGGATCCGCTAGGATTGATTAATCAATTGGAATTAATCAAAAATTCAACAACTTCTTGGCTTGGCTATTGAAATACCCATATACCCCGATTTCAGTACCAGCAATAAGCCTCTACTAAATATTGCGAGGTTTATCGTGATTTTGAAACAGTTCTTGATGTGCCTACTGTAGTACGTCGTCTCCAAATGGAAATACGAAATTGATAAACCCTCAATTTTTCAAAATTCTTCCAAAGAGTTATGAAAAACCAACAATAAATTACTTTTGTAAACAATAATTTTGAAACTAAGTTTGCATTAATAATTTTCATACTAATTATGTGGTCGCAAACAACCTTGATAGTAGCCGAAAATTGTTTATAGAGCGTGGGCAAAACTTCATAGCAAATTTGGAAAAACAAGTTTGAATACTACTTAAGATAGAGACATTCAAAACGAGATTTGAACCTCTGACGATAATTTATAAAGTTATTTGCTTAAATAACAAAAACTTGCTACAGCAATATTTAGTGGCTTCTAGGAAACTGGTTAAGTCGCCGACTTCTTCAATCTTCTACATCTATCAGCAAATACATGCATA